ATTATCATTATCATTATTCAATGTTTCTAACTGTTTGACAGTTTTCTTCACGTTAAACATACTGTTGACATATTTGTTTTGTCTTTATCGTGATGTCTCCTAGCTAGTTGACCATGCCCTCTCGTGTATGCACAACTTATTGAACGGGCTTTCTAAGAGCGTAAAGGAAAAAAGAATCCAAGGCGATGAATGATAGAAGTCAAGAGTTTATAATTCATAGTACCTTCAGACTTTCATCTCTGTAGTTATTCATGGTTGACTGCAGCAACAATGCGCAGGTCCTTCATGGAGAAGGATAAAGGAGGAAGAAGAGAGGAAGAAAAAGGAGAAAAAGAATGAAAAGAAGACGAATAAAGAAAGAATATAATGAGAACAAAACATAAGAGAAACCTTTTAACGAATACTTGACCTGCTAACACAGGTACTTCCACAGGTACTTAATGAAGTACCACAAAGCGGCTAAGAGAGAAGAGGCTAAAACCCAGGTATTCCTCAGTTGTAGTACGTTACAGTATCGTTATACTCTTGTGAGGTTCGGCTTCTTTAAACCGCTGTTCTTTTGAATTGTTTCTAATTGAAATTACAGTAATACCTCGAGATACGAGCGTCCCGACATACGAGTATTTCGAGATACGAGCAAGCCTTCCAGCTCATTTTGGCTTCGAGGTACGAGGAAAGATTTGAGATACGAGTACGCTTAGAGACGCCGACGCTAGGTGGCCGACCATTCGGAGCAGCCCACGGCGCTTCACTCGTTCACTTCACGTGTTCGTCGAGTTCCGTACGCATCTCCCATGTGTCTTCCGGATTGTGTAACTACGTGATTTTCTCTCTATTTTGTGCATTATTCTTCATAATAGCGATGAGCCCTAAGAGAGTGAGTGGTAAGGATGGTAGTGAGAAGAAGAAACGCAGGATGACCATGGAAATAAAGCATGAAATTGTTGATAAATATGAGCGTGGTGCCCGCTAATGAAACAATACAAATCGAAAAAGCAAGAAAAATAAGCGATTAAAATCATGTTTTTTCCATTGTTATTAGCACTAATAATGGAGGTTTTTAAAGGGGTCGGGATGGATTAATTTTTTTTCTGTTATTTCTTATCGGAAAAAATGATTTGAGATACGAGCACCTCCAGTTACGAGCTCGGTCCTGGAATGGATTATTCTCGGTATTATTGTATCATTACCAGCTCAGACAAAAGGCAGTGAAATTATTTAAAAAAAAATACTGATTCCCCATCTCTTCAGTGACTAGGTCCTAGGTCAGAGGTCAGAGAAGTGTTAACTAATTACACTTCAGTATTATCATACACACACAGTTCAACAAATCTGTCTTTCCGTTTCTAACTTTTTCTTTCTTTTTCTCCCTTTTTCTGCCTTTGCTTCTGTCTGTACTTTTTTATTTTTTATTTACCAGGTCAAAGGTTTGGGGCCTTAACCGTGGGATTCACTCTGTCTACAGCCCAAAGATCTGCTCAAATCAGAGCAGGTTCTAATAAAACAAGCCTCTCTGGTACCATGACAGAGTTCTAGCAGACAGAGTCTCATTAAAGGTTCAGCTTCACCAACAGTTCGAGCGGCAGTGACTCAGCGTGTTTGTGTTTGAGGAATCTGACAGCACATAAAGACGGAGGTGAGGCCGAAGCTCTCACTTCATTCATATTCAGTTAAAAACAGCAGCCGCAGACACTCTGATGGACCGAGTGAAAGCAGCGATTTAAAGGTTCCGCTTTCCGACTTTCAAATCTGGGGTTTGGATAAAAATAACACCCTTTCAGCCCGAAAAGGCAGCGTAACAACTGTCGGAGAGGAAACACAGTGATTCATGTGAGAAACTCAACACAAAGTCAGGTCATTTATCCCTGTTGTACAGCCGAACTGAACACTAACAGCATTATACAGTCGACAAAATGTCGTACTCAACAAAACCAGAAAGAGCCAATTTAGTACCACTTACAAACAGTCTACTGGGAAACAGGTTTAAATCAACTGAAAGGACCAAATTTGAAATCAGAAAAATGCGAAGAGCTAAAATACCTATGGTAAAAGATAGCCTAAAATCGCTACACCGGGGGTCGGTAACCTTTTCGAAACTGAGCGCTACTTCAAGGACACTTATAATACTTATAATAGGGAACAGCTACTTGTTTGATACAGACTTCGCCAACAATGTAATAATAGTTAGTTCTGGGACATACAAAAGTAGACACTCATTTTACGACAGGTTTACATGCACGCGAGTGCAAATCCTGAATCAAAAGTCGGTGCGAACCAAACTGATTCTGCTGCATTGTAACTATTACGCGGATCAAATACCGTATTTACTAACGGTGTTTTCAGACCCGATTTCCAACCTACTCCCATATTAGTCAACGTGGTTTTCACACTGAGTGAATTCTGTTCACATTGACTTTTAATTCAGAATTGCTAGACTTACGCATACATGTTGTGTTACAGATTCAAAAACAGTTTTTGATTTGATTTTTAGAACAGACCCGGGGAACCATGTTGGTGACCCCAACTCTATACATTTAAACATAGTCCAAAAGTCTTATTACTCATTCCGCTCCAGGTTAACTCCAGCCCTAACTCCTCAACAAATGTGCATTACTAATCCACCTTGAGAAGAGAGTTTACAATCCTGGACTGAATTCAGGTGCAAAGCCATAAAGCTTACTAGAGTACTGAGCGCAAAAGTAATCTGTATGTGTCGGTTAAGCACTCCATCCACTCCTGAATGTGAACTCAAAAAGAGTACAGGGTGCAAATCCTGAATTAAAAGTCAGTGTGAACAAAAGGGATTTTTCTGCGTTGTAACTACTACGGGGATTAAATATTTTACTAATGCCGTATTCAGACCCAATTCCCGACCTACTCCCAGGACCTACTCAAGGATCCGTTGCCGAGATTCATTGGACAGATTCAAAAAAGTGATTGCTGGACTGACTTTTTAGTAGTACTTTTTAATATGGCTTAGTTCATTCAGTATCGAGACCCCCATCTTGGGGCTTTTCAGTGTGCACGCAAACGATGAGTGAAACTATTTTTCGAACCCTGTGCTAAACGCCGGTGTGAAAACAGCAGAATACGGATAGTCGATTCAGGAGTGAGCGTGAAAACACTATTAGAAACGCTTGCAAATGCAAAGACTTTCTGCTGAAACCAAAAATAACCTTCTAAATGAAACGATGGGTTTCTAGATGGTCGAAGTCGTCACAGTCTTCAGATGTTTAACAGAGTGGTCTAAGGAGGGAAAAAAAGGAGTTTGAAACGGAGTAGAGAAGCACTGAGAAACATTGACCACAGTTGAAGAAAATAAAAAAAAAGGGTCTTCCAATAATAATTCTTTATTCAAACGAGCAGAAATGTATCTTCTCCATCTCTCTATTCAACCGCGTGAGTCTAACGGTTAAAATGACCTCTGCTCCCAGGACGGTGCTAAAGTGTGTGAAATCAGGTTAAGGGGGGAAAATAACAGTTATTTTACTCAGCTTAAGATGGAGAGATTTACCTGAGCAGATGAAAAAAAGATGTGATGGTCGGGAGCAGAATTACAATCCATCATTGTGGTGATGGAATTACAGAGGGAGAAAAAAAAAACCCTTGAATGCAGCAATTTGCCTGGTATAAAGAGCTACGACCGAAGAAGCGCATTGACCCTTTATTAAATCAGATGTTCCTGCCCGGATTAAAGATGGAGACTTCTCCACTTAAAATACCAGGAAACCTCAAAAGTGGGTTAGAACCAAATCAGTCTGAACCATTAGACCTGCCCTACTGGCGCCATGACTTTTTACTGTTAAGATGGAAAGAAATGCATTTTCATATATTAGGCAATTTGTTGCACAATGTTTTTAGGCTAAAAGATAGACGGAGTTTACGTAACGGTAAAATATATAGAAGAATAAAGAAGGACTTATCCAACAATCAAAAGGAAGACAACTATAGCAGCTAATTAAATAAATTTAAAAAAAAAATAGTGAAAAAGTGAAAGGTAAGCTGACGCAGTTTTTTCAGCTGAGGTTAAACTCATTTAAGAAAAAAAAATAAACAAATAACAGTATTTTATTTAGATATGCTTGAGCTTCAACTGAAAAGTGGAATTAATTAATTAATATTGCCCTTGAATATGATTCAAGGTATTTTCAAAAGATCATAGTAAATTATCTTAAAATGATTCAAAACAACCATGAATGATAATTTTCTGTAAAAGATTAAAAAAAAAAAAAAATTAAAACCTTGGGGGAAAATGTTTTTTCTACTCTGGTTTAGAGTTTCAGACATTTAGAGTTTTTTCAAAGAACAAAAAAACGTGTAATATGTGTGTGTGTGTGAGTGTGTGTATCCGGTCTGTTCTACCTGAGTCTCCAGAGTCTGAATTTTTCCCTCCAGCTCTTTGATTCTCTCGTCCTTCTTTTGAGCTTCAGCCTGAGCCTCCTGCCGGGCGCTGAACTCCTCGTCAAACTGTCGGACGGGAGACGCGAGAGCGTTAATGTGACAACGGGAAAAGAAAATACACAAAGTCTAGCTGTAAATACACACAGAAACCACTCACATTCATCAACACAGGGCACCGCCAGTACAGTATCAAACAGTACTAGACACCACCATGGACACATAGGACATTACGGGGGCACAGGGACAAGACCATGGGACAGTTCCTCAGAAGTTCTTATATGCCAGGAACTGTTGTTGTGAAGGGTGCAGAAACACATGAAGGTACTGAGAACTATTTTTGTTCGGCAATGGAGAGTCTAGTCAGTACTGGTAACTGAGGACTATTTTAAGGAACACTGGACAGTACCAAGGACTATTTCTGCTGATGGTCTGTAACAGGGGTGTTCACACTTCTTGGATTGGGCGCTACTAAAATGACCAGAACCTAAAGGGATCTATCTACGTTGAAAGTATTAAATACTGTATATCAGAGGTGTGGACTCGAGTCGCATGACTTGGACTCGAGTCAGACTCGAGTCATCAATTTGACGACTTTAGACTCGACTTGACAAAATGTAAAGAGACTTGCAACTCGACTTGGACTTTAACATGAATGACTCGTGACTTCACTTGGACTCGGGCCCTATGACTCGACAAGACTCGATACTTTCTCCAAAACCCAAAGTGATCTGTATAGATATATTATTATTTTGTTTAAAAGGACTAGAAAGGACTCAAAACAGAAATGGCAGGGCTTCGGACTTGATTTGACACTTTTCAGTCTTGACTTGAGACTCGACTCGGACTTTGCCTGTCTTGACTTGAGACTCGAATCGGACTTGAGTGCAAAGACTTGAGACTTTACTTGTGACTTGCAAAGCAACGACTTGGTCCCACCTCTGCCTAATGTACTATACATAGAGTACATGATATGTTGGAGTACCGATTAAATGCATGTAGCTGTATGGCACGATATTATTTCATTCAATATAGTTTGAAAGCAGGGGTGTCAAACATACGGCATGTGGGCCAATTTTGGCCCACATGGGGGTTTAATCCGGCCTGCTTGATGGATTTTAAAATAAAAAAAAAAATGCAAACACTTAATGTCATACAATTTGAATATTTTCTAATATACTTTGCATAAAAACAAAGGAGGGAAACAAGGGCTTATTGTTATTTATAGACAATTGCGTTGATGATTGGTGGCGCTTTGGCCCAGAGGCGATGTCTCTGTCATTGGTGTGGAACCCCAGGGTTCACCTCCTGGGCAAGTTCGAATCCCGGTTAGGGCGATTGGTACCTTCCAGTGGACTCACCACCCACAGGAAGGTTTAGGGGGTTGGTACGGTGCAATGTGATTTGGGTGGCGACTGCTGCCCCCGCGACCCGGTAACAGATAAGCGGATGAAAATGGACGGATGGATGGATGTGTTCTGATCGGACTGGTCCGGCTCACTTGACATCTAATCAGGCTGTTTGTGGCCCATGAACCAAAATGAGTTTGACACATCTTACAGTGATTTATCGGTAGATCCCGATCTACTTATTTAGGCACCCTGGGTGTAAGGGGAGTACTAGTGCCAACCCGTTGTGGAAATTTGAATCCGAAATGAATTTTCACTAAGTCTAAGCAAGTATGTAAGAAAAAAAAAAAAACAGGCAGCATCCCTCTTTAACTCTGCACACTTTTTAATAACAGAGTCATTCTGCTGTTATTGAATTGTGTCTGTTTCCTGTAAATAACAATACTTTAAATCAATAGTAGAATTAATTTGACCACTTTAGGAGGAAACCTGAGAGGAAGTGTTTAAATTGTGAAACAGTACCAGGGACTGTTCGGGCAACTTCACTGCCACCGCTGTGTGCACAAATAAGTACAAACAGAAGACGGTGCTCATGGATTGTTGTAGCACTGATACGGATCATGTAGCGTCACGGCCAGGTATTGATCTGGGCTCAGACGATCAATGGCTCGTCTACAGACTCGGAGGAGGAAGAAAAAAAACTTTGCCTGATGGGAGGAGGAGAAGGTGGAGGCGGGGGAAGGCTAAGAGAAGAAGCAGGACAATTCTGACAGAATAAATGTTTCACCTTTTTAGAGAACTCCGACGCTTTCTGCTCACTCTCCTCCACTTTGGCTTTGTCGACACACTGATCTGCAGAGACAAGATCGCACGCGGTCTGTCAAGTCAAGAAGTGAGCTCAGAAAAGCCGTCCTTAATGTGACATTTAAAGGAACCAAACTTTTCCCACTTCAAATTAAAAACCCCAAAATCAAGCATTTTTAGTTTTTTACAACATATAATGTGTTATAGCAATACATTTGGGTTTCTGAAAAAAAAAAAAAAAAAAAAACATACAGTTCAATTTCTGTCTTTTCATTAGACATTTTGTCAAGCCACACTATTGCATTCTGAATTTAAATTCTATTTTTTAATAATGCTGCTTATCAATAACCATGGAATCGGGTAAGTATTTTTTTTATAGTAAACATGGTTATCGGTACATACAAATATGAGGTTGTAATAATAATAATGATAACAATAATAATAATTATTAAATATTATTAGTATTATATAATATTGTAATTATGCTAACAATTTAATTATTATTATTATTATTATTATTATTATTATTATTATTATTATTATTATTATTATTATTATTATTATTATTGTTGTTATTTATGGTTTATTGTTGTTGTTATTGTTGTTGTTATTTATGGTGGCTCTGGACTTTTAGGGTTGCTAACTTGCTATCCTCTAACAAACTAGACTTTAACGTCAGGGCAGTGGCAAATGTTTCTGGGTTTTACATTGGATCTCATCACAGTAATACTCAAGTTGTGACAATAGAAAAATTTGTATAAAATATGAACTTCTACTGCATTAAGGTAATGCTGTACTTTAAGAGAACCTGCTTTGTTTGTGATTGCAATTAATCAATCAGTTAATTGAATTGAATTGCAGAAAACCTCACATTACTATGATAATACTTGTTAGTTGTTGCCCGGCCCTTTGTGTTAGCATTTAAATATGTTCGTGGTTAGTATTGATTAAGTCAAGGTTCATTATGTATGAATAATGCAAATTTTAATTTTCAATATAAATATACTGTAAAAAGGGTTATTGCAATATATAGTAGTAGAAATCCAATCCATCCAATTAAACATTTTAGGGCTTTTGACTTTTTCCTAACTGCTAAGCTGTTAAGTCATTGTTTCCCCTCGAATTTTAACACGTTTGCAATTCCAGCGTTTTAGGATTCCTTCCGTAGACGAATCATGTGGAAGACAGCGAGAGTGTTAGATGACAAATCACACATCAGAAAAAATAATTACCAGCAAAAATACTCCCTGGTGTCAGGGTGAAGAAGGAAATGAAGAAAAACCAAAGGTGAGAAGGCAATCTCATACCTACATAAAGGACTAATTCCATGACTTTAATGAGGATATAACAAGGATAAATTTGACTTTTTTTTTTTCCTTCTTCTTTTTACAGCTGATTGAGTTTCAGAAGTGTTGAAAAAAGTTGTTTAATTGTGCATCCGTTTTACCGTGGATGGGTTTGAAAACTTTTAATGACATTGTTGAGGAGAAAACCAAGAGCAAAGTGATGATATTTGTTTCTTTTCTCCCTTTTGATCTTCTCAATTGCGATAAGGATAAGGATTCATTACGGAAACTAATAGTTATAATGTTGTTCAACAGACACAGCAATGTGTATTTACAGAGCTGCTGCAGGTGATGAAAAACAAAAGAAAACATCGTAGTTAACTCCTGTCTCTTTTGAAACCAACGTTTACAGAGCTGCTGCAGGTGATGAAAAACAGAAGAAGAAAAACGTGTTGCATCGTGGTTAACTCCTGTCTCTTTTAAAACCAACGTTCAAGTTAAAATGATTCACGAACGGACTTCAGAGCACCGGGTCGAAGTCTGTGTCGAGCGGTCACAATTTTTACACAATGTAGGTCCATCACTTTCAGGTCTGACCCCCGTATTCCACTGGATGCGTTACGGCTGCGTTGCGATTAAAGCTGCATTTAAGCGCCATTATATTTAATGCGATTCGATCACGCCAGACCAAGAATTAGAAACGGTTTCAGCAGAAAACTTCTGCCGACCTTCAAAATAAACACAGAGCTGAAATCACAACCCTCTACGTCAGACGTGTCAAACTCAGGTCCGGGGGCCAAATCTGGCCCACAGTGTAATTTTATTTGGCCCACAGGATCATAACAAATGTGTACTAAGGTTGGCCCACCAGTATATAGCTCCAATATACTGTCAGGATTAATAGTATTAGCGATGTACGCGGAATGTTACAGGACATACATATTGTTTTTTTTTTTTTGTTTGTTTTTTTTTTTTTTGTTGTTGGCTTGTGAAAAAAAGATTTATAATAAAAAAGGAGAGCAGGGAAAACATGCAAAATTCCACCATTATTTTTTTTTTTTTTTTTGGAAAAATATTAAGTTTGGCCTGCGACGTCCCAAGTTTTTAGTTTTGGCCCACTGTGAATTTGGGTTTGACACCCCTGCTTTATGTCAATTCCATTCACAACAGGTCAAAAGTCAAGAGGCCAGAGAGTTGGATGGTTGATGTCACCTTGTCACCATAGACGAGGAGATAAAAACTCTTTCACAGAGGCAAAGTAAACTATTGGATGTTGTTGTTGTTGTTACTTTTACGCAGTCTGTTTATTGAGGGATCTCGTGTTTTTCATGATTTTGGAATTATCATGCAAAATCAGCTGGCTCGCAAGGCTGCGCCCCCCGCTGCCGCAACGCACCCAGTGGAACATCACAGTCGTAATCAGAGAACACATGTTTAAGTGAAAGTGAGATTTTGAAAGTGTATTAACCCAAAAAAAAAAACAAAAAAAAAACAAGTACCAATCAAATGCGTGAAGTCCACGTCCAATCTTCGGCTGTAGCCAAAGTCTGGGTCCATCCCGCTGCGGTGCAGGACCACCTGAGACACACATTCTTCGATCACCTTGTAGTATTGAGGCCTGAGGAGGGGCGAGACAGAAAATGTAGAGCAGGACAATTAGGCGAGTTAGAGAGAGAGACGTGAGTGACAGCGACTCGGTGACGAGGCTAATTAGTCACAAATGATTCTCTTATCTGAGTTAGAGGTCATTAAATGCCACCAGAAAACTGCCGTTCTGCTGGGAAAATAGATGTCCTATTAAATTTGATCGCTTGCGTCACTCCACGCCATGAAATATGCAGATTAACGTGCATCCGAACGCACGCGTGTGTGTGTGTGTGCATGCGCTGTCTGTCCATTTCAAGGTGAGAGACATGCAACGACCTGGGCCACGTTGGCCTTTCTCCTCATTTGCAATCATCTTCAGCAATTAGAGCGACGGTATAAAGTGGAATGTACGTGTAATGGCAGTAATGCGTGAGTAATTGAAAAGCACAATAATGGAGAAACATGTCAGACGCTGAGGAGCGTGACTGAGAGCCGAGAGCTGTTCCGATACGCTGAGGGGTCAGACGAGTGGGCGAAACCTCACCCTCGAACGATGCAGACCTTGAAATCATCCTGACAGGTTTCAGAAGTTGAGAACAAGACGACAGGGACACACCTTCTGTTCTAACTGACTGCTGGAAGACTATTGGTAAAACCAATAGAGAGTCGCCTACCTCAGCCAACAAAAACATACTAATCTGTCGAGAACTATCTATCTATCTATCTATCTATCTATCTATCTATCTATCTATCTATCTATCTATCTATCTATCTATCTATCTATCTATCTATCTATCTATCTAT